CGGTATGGGGTTTCACATTGTTGAAGGCTGTAGACTTCAACTTGCCTATAATTACATACAAATGTATATCCATTTCGTTTGAACTTTGATGGATAGTTAAATGTCTCATTGACAATCATACCACATCTCCTTATTTTTATAATGCATCAATTATAACGCATGTTTAACTGTTAATTTAAAAAGCTGTTGTACTATTTCATGTTTAGCAGAATCTTTATTTGAGCCGACAACATGAAGTTTTTGTTACTATAGTTAACCATTTTTGTACTGGAAATGTTGTGAAAAGATTCAACAGGGTATCTGAGAACAAATTGAGAAGCAAGGTAGGGTAATATAAGAACTCGGATATGAGATACATAAAAACATGAAGCACCAAAACTGAGTAAATTTCTGATCGCTCGCTCGAATAAAATGCTTTTCATAGATTTTATTTTTTTATATATCGCCTGCCAAAAATCAAACTTCGAAAAAAAAAAACAAATAAAAAAATTTGGCTCGCTCGCTACCCTTTTTAAGGAAAGAGTCCGAAGAACTAGAAATTAATTTGGTGTGGCCTTACCCCAATATAATATAAAATTTCTCGATATTATCTGGGGTGAAATTTGGGAACTAATTTTTATTTGATATTACAAAAAACATACCAAAAATAAACTACCCATTAACTATGCCATTCGTTTGCTGATTGACAAATGCTATTAAGGATATGTGCTGTTCCTGCTCTATATATAAATTGAATATCACTTATTTAAATGAATGCACGGTCTCCTTTATTTGGGGGTACAGATCAAAGGTTGCATGGTCTGAGGTTTGACATTCCTATCAGACCAACCATCTCCCCTTTTATGTTTATATTTTGTGGTGCACCTTTAACGTGAGGGTACACAAATTGCACCTATTTTGACAGTTTTTTCACCTATGTTTATTTATGATCCAGACAAAAGTTTATATTCTGTGTTTATTTTGTAGATGCATCATTATTCACTATATGGTTCCACCAATTTAATTTTGAATCCATACTGAATCATAAAAAAATGGGTTTGAACAGACCTCCAAGCCATGATTCTGTAATGAGGACCCAAATTGCATCCATGCTTAAATTCCCATCCTCCAAAATCGAATTACAGATAATTTGTTTTATTTCTTCAAATATTTAGAACAATTTGATATTAATCTATGCTTACCATTCATTTTTTAAGAAATGGAGGCTCATTTTAAAAAGATGACCTTTTTGTGGACGTCGCATGGCGACGTTTCCGTACAATTTCCTTTACCAGTGAATACTTCATCTGTTGATGTATACTGTGAACGTTTTGTGTATATTTAAATATTTACATATGTTGAAAGACGTGCATAATGTCAAATCATAAAAATACAAATTGTTTAGTCTCTATTAAACTTTCCGCTGCTACTTTTGCTAAATAGATGCAGTTTGGGTATTCGGTGCAATTTGGTAAAATTCAGAAATTATTGCGATGTTATCACTATTGCGAAAAATTGCGACAGGGTTAGGGAGCTACCATTTGATTTTTAGGGGGGGCTAGGATGAAAAATTGTGTCCTGCATTTTTTTTAGTTGTAATCTCGGTCCTGCCTTTTTATTTTTCACTTTATTCGGTCCTGCCTTTTTTTACACAAATGGAAGTTTTTAACGACCTTGACTGGCCTTTTTTTATTAGTTTATCCTGACTTTTTATACACAACTTGTCATCCTGCCCCCCCCCCCCCCCCCTAAAAATCAAATGGTAGCTCCCTTATAATCGCAATAATACAATTCGATGGTGCATATATGTCATAGAGTCAATGAGCTACTGTGTAGGCCTTGACTTGGTGCACAGGTACTATAGAGTTTAACGAGGTATTTACCTGTGCAGCTAGACAGTAATTACATGTAGGTTAAATTGAATGTACGGTAATATATGCTAGAGGATGTCGTTTTGATATAAGGCATCTTAGGTTAGTTATATTACTGAATAGTGAATCAAGATTAATGTCTTGAAAATTACTTGACTTTTTAAACAGATTTTACCGTTTGATTAACATACTGTGACATACATTGGTCAACCACCATGTTCAGTCGGCAATTTGGAAAAAAAGTCGTTTGCTATTGTGCACCAGTATTCAGTTAATGTTAATTATTATAACGATGCAACAGGCTAATTATGTCTGTTATCAATACATTTGTAATTACAATTTAATCAACAAAAACTTTTGTATTTTGATTGGATCGTCCGTCAGTATATATTTGAATTATTCCCTATGAACCTCTGTATGAGTAAGTTTACATCATTTTAGATAGATTGAAATGAGAAAAAAAGGTCCAAAAAAACATTTTTAACTGTTCATTAGTGAAATAAAAACAGACAACACCATGGCCAAAAAGATTGATTTGTGTTAAACGCCACTTTCAGCACTATTGTGCTATTTCGTGGCGGTAGGTTTATATTCGCGGAGGAAGCCGGGGTGCCCGGAGAGAACCACCGACCTTCGGTAGGAAAACTGATTGCCAAAAAGAAGAACAACGGACAAAAAAAAGTGTACAGAACATTACACGAAATACTTAAAGACTCAGTCTGAGCAAATCAAACCCACCAAAACATTTGGTGATTTCAGGTGTTCCGGAAGGTTCAGCTCCACTACGGGCACCCATGGTGTTCTTCGTGCAAGTAAAAGTTTGATGCTCAGTCGCATTCGGTGATTTCATATTTGCGAAAAAGAGGAAAACATTGCGGCTACGAAAAGTAGAACATATCAAAAGTCATAATATATAAACTCCATATATACACTCGATAATTGTAAAACAAGACACAAACATGTCGGCACACTCATTGATATTTTACGCAAGGTAAACATCTACAGGATGACATAAAACCATACCCTGAAACCCGAGTCCACCAATCTCTGCTCATACACCTTTATGCCACGTGCCTTGTGTAGAAGCAACACATGATAATTTAAAATCATTGGTTTTACCATGCACGCTAGAGAACCTACAATTTCCCACACTCCTGGTGTGCACGCTACCTCCGTACTACCGAATTTAACCTTCCTGTCTGAATTGACGAACCTTATTGTAATAATAAAAAAAAGAAAAAAAAGCAATATCATAATTACTTTGGTTGTTTTTGATTTGTGATATTTTTGAAGATTGTTTCTTCCTGCAATGCAACATCAATATTCCTTCTTCGGTCTATTGTTAGCATTGCTTTATCTGATCTACATGTAGGTAGAATGTCGTAACTTTTATGTAATATTCATGCATATTTTATGCTATTGTGATATATGAGGGTCTGGATTGGGGTTCTTAATTTCTGCAGTATTCTTTAAAGTTTTAGGCATTTTTCTGTCTCTTTAAAAATGACGCTTATTCTGTAAATTCTCCGAAAATGATACATTGTAATACTATGATATTTTTCTGTAATTATATGATTTCTTTATTCTGCACACCCTTCATTTCTGTAATCAGTATTATATTACAAATTTTTTTGATTTTCAGCAATTATTTTTTTTATACAAATGCATCCCATTAGTCTCTATTTTTTTTTATTGTTTTGGCTCATTTTTCCCGATTCAGCATTTTTCTGACCTTTATTCTCTATTCTGTAAACCCCATCTAGACCCTCATTTATCAACTCAATATCTAAAATCAATGTGCAACTGTTATTTTTTTTTATTACAACATATTGTGCATTAATATCTTTTTCTGTGAATGATTAATTTGTCTACTGAACATTGTGGTTTTCTGATTAATTAGGTTCAATGTGACCGAATAATCTATTTTGATGTATAATTTATTATATTTCGTTAAAAAATATGCGAGTCGTGCGTATATAGAAAAAGGAATATACTTTTGTAAAATGTTTAGATTTATTCATGAAAAGTTGTAGCTAAAGCCTTACTGCATATGTTTAAGGTAACATGAACACAATCCAGAAATAAATGTTTAAAATTGTTTCTCGTTTCTCGTTTATTATATAGATTAGACCGTTGGTTTTCCCGTTTGAATGGTTATACACTAGTAACTTTTGGGGCCCTTTATAGCTTGCTGTTCGGTGTGGGCCAAGGCTCCTTGTTGAAGACCGTACTTTGACCTATAATGGTTTACTTTTATAAATTTTGACTTGGATGGAGAGTTGTCTCATTGGCACTCATACCACATCTTCTTATATCTATTAAAGCATTAATTAATGAATGCATTTAGGCTACCTCGTCTAGTTTCTATCTAGATTTCATCTTCCTTAAACACAAAATGTATTTAACTTTTATATATCTAGCAAACTTTAGCCTGCACTAATTTGTCTGTACTCAGAGTAAATCCCAAGGTGTAAACACAGCCATTTTTGTCGAATTGTTATTGTGAACCTTCAGATAATAAGATTTTTTTATGGCGTACATGCATATTTACATGTACATGATTAAATAATATTTTAAGGAAGTAGAAACTATTTTTTTACAGGAAATTGACTTCTAACTAGTATACTTACATATTGTCTGCGTATGTCTGTACAGTTTCTCATCCTGTATCGTGGGTGTTATTATAAGACTCAATAATACTGGCTACTTTGTTGTGACCAAAAGAGTTTGTTAAATTGAACATGTATGAGTGTCAAGAATTTTTTTTTTGAGGTGGTGGTGGTGGTGGGGGGGGGGGGGGGGGAGGGGGGGGGGGGGAGTGATAGGTATTCATTTCTATATTCTAACATTTTAGACCATTTTTCTCTATTCTATATTTGGTCATTTTTTTCTTTTCTTTTTTTGTCATTATTTCCAATTCTTTATTTTTTGTGGCTGTTTTCTATATTCTTTACATATATATCTTAAGTACCCCATTATTGACTTTTCTATAATTTGTTTACCAGTTTCCCTCTATTTTTTTATTTTTGGCCCGTTATTCTGAATCTCTAACCCAATACACACCAACATACATGTATATGAAGCCTGCTGTAGCTGCCTGACAGTAACTGTGACAAAAATTGATAAGACTTTAAAAATTGTTTCTTTCAGCCAAGAAACCGGATCCAGATGGCCATATACTTTGTAAAATATGTGGAGACAAAGCTTCCGGTTTCCATTATGGAGTTTTCTCCTGTGAAGGATGTAAGGTGTGTATAATAATTATAGTATTTCTTCGTGTTATGCCAAATAAATAATATGCTTGTTTCTTGCTTCCTGGCAGAAGAAACAATTGGATGATGCGTAGATACATGAGATAAAAAATAATTCATATGAATATAATATTTTACAAAGAATTTGTATGGAAATGTTCTGAACTTTTTTATCATTGCTAAACGAAAATTGTAAAAAAAAAAACTAGGGTGAGCATGAACATTTAGGTTAGGTTGGGAGGCAGGAAACACAACTATAATGTTTTGACCTTATTCAGCCGTCAGAAAGTTTGTAGTATCAAAATAAAATGAAAAAATTTACTATTTTTGAATTATTTATAAGTAATATTATAAATCATATCTTATGAAAGTTATTTTTTTACTTGTAGGGATTTTTCCGTCGATCTGTTCGTCAAAATCTAGTCTACAAACCATGTTCTACTCCAAAACGATGTCTTATCATGAGAATCAGTAGGAATCGGTGTCAGTTCTGTAGAATGCACAGATGTATAGATTCAGGAATGTCACATGAATGTACGTTGTGAACACTCGGTATTGTAAACAGAAGTATAACCCCTTACACGTATTGTTATGTGTTGCTTTATTCTACATTGGCTAGAGGTATAGGGGGGGGGTTGAGATCTCATAAAACATGTTTAACCCCGCCGCATTTTTGCGCCTGTCCCAAGTCAGGAGCCTCTGGCTTTTGTTAGTCTTGTATGTTTTTAAATTTTAGTTCATTTATATGTTTTGGAGTTTAGGGTGACGTCCATTTTCACTGAACTAGTACACAATGTTATTTAGGGGCCAGCTGAGGACCACCTCCGGGTGCGGGATTTTCTCGCTGCGTTGAAGACCCATTGGTGGCCTTCGGCTGTTGTGTGCTCTTTGGTCGGGTTGTTGTCTCTTTGACATATTCCCGATTTCCATTCTCAATTGTATGGACTGTTTTTTTTTTATTGTTGTTTGTCCTTTCATCAATTGTTTTTGTTGCCCTGACGGTGTCTGTTTTTATTGGATTTTCGAATGCCCCATTTGTATCTTCTCTCTTTCACAAAATGTCTCACTGTAAAGATTTATTATATTTCGTGTGTAATACAATAGATATTCCAAAAAAAAACCAGGCGGATAATAAAAAAAAAAACAGGCGGATAATCTAAACAAACAGGCGGATAATCTAAAAAAAACAGGCGGATAATCTAAAAAAAAAACCAGGCGGATAATCTAAAAAAAGGCGGGAGATAGCAATGAGAGAATCAAGACTCGTGATGAAGTGAGACTAACAAAAGCACGACAACAAACGAAAAACGACGAAAAGACAAACAACTCTCTGTCTACAAAACACAACATAAAAAACCTAAACACTGGGAACATGAATCCCTTCAAATACGGGGGTGAACTCCAGAATGATATGCAGATGATCCTGCTTCACATGTGACTCCCTTCATAAAAGAATACAATCACTAAAATCAATCACTTTTAATGAACATTTAGATGTTTATATTCAAGCATATTTATTTTTTACAACAGTTGTATATTCGATCCATAATGTTGCTTCTCCCTAATTTGAACTTTTTTTTTTGGGGGGGGGGGGGGGGGGGGGGTTATACATTGCTATGTTTTTTTTCATATTTCATGTTACAGTTACTGTAAGAAATGATAATGATCGAACATAATGTACTAAAATATTGAATGGTGAAATAGGAAACAGAACAGATGTAGAGATGCTTAAAAATGATAAAACGTGGTAAATTGCATGTAGATTTAAAACATCAGTCAATACAAAGATGAAGTTCAACGTTGGGCCCCATTAAGATTAAATGTTATATCTGTAAAGTGCAAATATAGGAAAATAATATGACCATGTTTGTATAGTCTATAACAATTCTTCTCAGGACAAGGTAACCTTTTCAGTACCATTTTATTCAAATGTGGAAAAATGCCATCCTTTAAATAGCGATGTTTGCCATTTTTTGTGTGTGAATAAATTCCGATAGACTTCCGGTAGACAATAGGAATAAGAAGATGTGGTATGAGTGCCAATGAGACAACTCTCCATCCAAGTCACAATTTGTAAAAGTAAACCATTATAGGTCAAAGTACGGCCTTCAACACGGAGCCTTGGATAACACCGAACAGCAAGCTATAAAGGGCCCAAAATGACTAGTGTAAAACCATTCAAACGGGAAAACCAACGGTCTAATCTATATAAAAAACGAGAAACACTTATGAACCACAAATGTTACTTTTTTTAAACAGTGATGATGTTATACTTTATTTCAGCTGTACGATTAGGGAGGTGTCCTAAAAAGGATAAACCATCACGATTTAATTTCTTCAAATTACCACAAGGCGCTGTAGGAACAGATGTAGAAAAACAGATCCGAACGGAACAAATGATTCTTTGTATACACGAGGCCTTCCGAGGAGCACGAAAAGAGTTTGATTTGTTTACTGATAAATACAGTGCAGCTCCAGTAAGATTTATTTACACATAGTTATTATAACTTATACCTGAAAAATGATCGATATAAACCAAAGATTGTGTCTAGCTTGTGATACCATATTTTATTGAAACAGCTAAATCTTTCAGTTAATTTTCTAAAATTTAATTACAGCAAATGAAAAAAAAACAACAATATTATATTTAAGGATGTTCGCTCCTCTATTTCAAAATAACAAGCTTTTTAAAAGACTGTTATAAATTGATAGTATATAGATAATGGAACTAAAAAAGTGGAAGAAAATGACAGGTTCGTGTCCTTGTTTTTAAGATTTATTCAATTGAAAATTTGGCGGGAAATGGTTCTCTCTGGATTTTTTTTATACATTTAACATTGGAACCTTTTTTTTCTTTCAAAATCTATGAAAATATAAGAATTACTGTATAAGATTTTCAAAAAATGGCTTTTTAAACTATATTTAAATAAATAATGAAATAAAGTAGGGGTTAGTAAGCAAAATTTTTATTGACACTACTATGATAAAACTAGAGGATTCCGAATATCTGACGAAAATCAAAAACAAGAGTAGCGAACATCTTTAAAATTTCTTGACCATATATTAAGTTAGGACAAGAGCACCAATTTTGTCATTTCTATTGCAAAATGGGTCAGTTCTTTTATATTACAATTCCAACCAAATTGTATGTAAAATATACATATTGTAAGTGACTTTTCTTCGTATGAAAACATATCTATTATTTAGAAGAGCAAAATATGAAAGCGTTAAACATTGTTTTTTATTAACACGAATTAACTCATTCTTTTTAGATAATCCCGGTGCAAACAGATTCCGACGCAAAAAAGTTATGCTCGAGATTCTTGCCAGCTATGGTTCTATTTACAACATACTTTGCAAAGGATATTCCAGAATTCACTAGACTTCAAGAAACCAATCAAAAACTGTTAATACGCGAGAGTTTCATGGAGACATGCGCAGTGCTTTCATCTCACAGTTCCGATGTTGATTCTTATGATCTCATTGCAGATAAATTTAGATATTATGTTCACCATGAGACATGCTATAAAATGGGACCATTTGGGGACTTTTTTCATAAGATGTTTACTACTATTCAAAAACTACGCAGTTTAGAAATGACGGATGTTGAGTTATCGATCCTTGCGGCCGTTATATTATTTTGTCCAGGTTTGTATTACATGTTATAGGTCTTTTTATTTGCTTCCAAGCAAAGACTTCGATTGTGGAGAAAATCAATTTGAAGATCTGGTTATCAAACGTATATGATCTGTTATAAAAAAAATGTAAAAATATTTTTTTATGTAAACTGACAAGAACAATATAAATGGCATAGTTCTGACTTGATATATTAACTTTAATATTGTTTTATAAGAAGGGGCATTAAGAAGTAACATGTTGACAGGGATAGATAATATCTTGACAAAAAGAACGAACAGGTCAAGTCCAAAAACATTGTGTTGAAAACTAAAGACTATTATACTCAGTAAAAGCTTTAAACCAATATGGAACTTCAGTGCTCCATTAGTGTACTCTCCAATGTTGTTTATAACAACTTCAAATCCCGTAAAAGATAAATCATATTGTTGATAAAAAAAACCTTCTAGTTTCATATTAAAAGCAATTGGCGTCAAAAACAAAATATGTCAGAACTTCTGAACAAAATGAGAAACACAATTACAAAATATGTTGAACAGGTAATTCCTTAGTTTCTCAAAGGAAGATGCAAATAAAATCAACCTTGATTCTTGTTCCTGGAAGTTATTGAACTAAAGTTTGTGATTAAAGTTGAAATTTTTTGTCCTTAGAAAATAGGTGCAGTAATTTTCCATGCATATGCAACATGCCAACAGTTGTTGTAAAGGCTGTTTAAGGTGCAATGGTGTGGCAATCTCTCTATGAACATCGAATTTAATTTTCATTACGATCGGACGTAACTGTGTGTTCATATACCCGCAAAGTTAAACAAAAGGCCCTCTTCAAATTGCCCAGAAGGCCGTTTCTTTATACTAACAAGTCAATCCTTTGGATTGATTTATTAATTTAAAAAAGATCATAGATGAAAAAGACCAAATTAATCTGTCGTACTGATGCCATTGAGATAAATCTGTCGTACTGATGCCATTGAGATAAATCTGTCGTACTGATGCCATTGAGATAAATCTGTCGTACTGATGCCATTGAGATAAACCTGAACTGTTTATTTTTTTTTTTGTACATTCTTCTTCGTACTGTTTGTTATTTCACTGGTCAAGATTTTAATTTACTTGAATATTTCAATATTTTCAATGATTAAGGAGTTTGTTGTTGACGGCATATTTTGCTGTTTGTCAATTTTATGCAGGCTATTATAGATTCCTGAGGTGACTTAGATAATAATTTATCTACTTTCCTTCGCACCTTCGCAATCAGGGTTTTATATAAAGATTTGGAGCGAAACGAATTCTGCTGAAAGGCTCTGTAAACCTCCTTTCCCCAGTTACTAAGTATCAAACAAAAAGTTGATATTTTTTTAAGCACTAACCATTCATCTTGTGTTTGGTGGGGAATTACTGTGATAAAATATGCTAAAATCTACGTCAATTGATCTCTGTTTGATAGTTGTCTTATGGGTATTTATACCACATATCCTTATTTTATACAGGTTTTCAATAATTTTTTGTTTTTAAATCCATATTTTTTAAACAAATGTGCAATCGAAGCGACTTTTTTTACTTCCATTCCGAAACAAATTATGTTTTTTTATTTGAATTTACTAAAATCAAATAGTTTATTTTAAAAAGTAAGAGAATATCGATTGATACACTTTTAATAACCCGAAAGAAATTCAACAGAACTCCCATCATCCTGTAAGGTCAACCTAACATGGAAGTGGTTTGTGTTCTCGTACAGGCCTTAATCTCATATAGGCTGGTCAATTTTACTGGCTTAACGGCCAGTGGCTATTATTCCATGCACAATCAGGACGAGAACCAGTTAGCAATTAATTCAAAAGGTAAGTTCTAAAAGGTTGGCCGACCGGGATGAAGGGCGGAAAATATGAACTGCTTTTGGAAACAAGCGTATGCTGACTATTTTGCCTTGCGAAGAGTCACCTATGGACCCCTCACAGAATCGTTGCAAGGCCTAGACTTTGTTAACGCGAAGAATGCATGGCACTCTCCCTATAGATCTCATATAGACAATTTATGAGTATAAGGTTATTTTGAATAACCACCTATCAATTCTGGTGTTTGGTATACATATATGAACGGGATTTGTTCTTAGTATACGAATAATTCATTTTTAATTTCAGATCGTCCAGGAGTTGGGGAATCTTTTCATTTAGAGAAAATGGAAGAAGACTTAACATTAGCATTGAAATGTCAATTTTTATTGAATCACGGACAGTGTGATAAACTTTTCCCAAAGACTGTTGAAATTCTCGTTGATTTACGTAGTATTTCCACAATGCATTCCGAAAAGATTCTTAATTCAACAGTTGAAGTTGACAGCGATGATTGACAACGACAACAGATAACATCAGAGATACCAATGTCCAAAAACAAAAACAAAATGAATTTGTACATGGAATCAAGCTGTGACCCGTTTGGATGCACATTTTTTTATTCAAGAACAACATTATGTATTAAAACATTTTGTTGATGTTTTAAGTTATATTGGTGGTTAAAATTATAAATGTAAGAATAGGGTAAATTATAATATTTAAGTTCTGCCTTTTATACAAATCAGAATTTTGTAAAATAAAAAATAAATACTCAATACCACTTATGTTTTGTGAAAAATTTGGTAGTTCAATTTCAACACAAGCATCTTGTGTAAATTATATCATAATTGTGTAATTATTATGTTATTGAAATTTTATTGAAATTTAAAAAATAATTTTGTTGTATTTATTTTTCTTGGTATCCTTAATTAAAAAATATGCCGACCTTGTAAAATACGTTTTAAAGCTTGACTGTTATATGCATGGTTTAAGCGCATACCATATAGACTTTTACAGCGATCTCTAAATGCCTAACTCTGTGGCTTTAAATGCCTAACTCTGTGGTTTGGTTGCTGTTGTTTTGACCTTTCAACCAATATATTTTTAACATATTGTATTGTAATCTCAAATGAAGAGAAAACAAGATAACTTGGTAAATGTAAAGAAATTCCAAGATATCCAGTTGCGTTAGTACCATCCAAGTTACAACAGTGAAACTCGTAGTAACTCTAAAATAACATATATATACTAAAATATTATTATTAAAAATAGTTATGTTGTTCAGCAACACTGTACATAAGATGAGATAAGATAACTATTATTTCCAATAGAGGATTTATCCATGTGGCGTAAAGGTGAACATGTTGATATTACTAGACACCGACTATTCGTCTTTTGTTTGGGCGGGGGTGATGAATTGTACCAAAAGGAGATTGAAGAAAATAGTTTGTTTCCGTTCAAAATTAGAAGAAAATGCAACATTGAGTAAAAAAATAGGTCTTGTTCCTGTATATTTCTGACGAAAAGATTTTTTTTTTTATTTAAAAGGAGGAAACATTGTTTGTCCTGAGAAAAGAAATGAACCCATGCGATCCTACAAGATGAGTGGTCGGTGCCTTATCTAGTATATCCAATCACCTTTTTTCACTTGAGTAAATCCCAGCGGACACGACACGAAACATTAGACCCCGAGTCTATAAATCTATACGTATACTCTAGAATTACTTTTAAAAAAGTATGATTACTTATTATATACTATTTAACTGCTATGTACCAAGTACTGTCAATATATTGTTTTACAAAGAAAATGTATGTTTATATTTTGTAAATGTGGCAGTATGCTAATAGTCAAGCCGAAATCTTTCTTGATCATGCATCGAAAAATGTAGAAACTTCCAAATTAAAGAAATTAAAATTTTTGTTGAATCAATAAGTTTTTTTGTTGTGTGTTTTAACATGTTGTTTATTTCGATTGTATCGTCTTTAAAAGACAAATTGTTAAAAGTTCTGTTTTCAAAATAGTTTATAGACAAAGGGAAATAACTGGCAAATTTATATGACTTTCTGAAAAATCAGATTTGTTTTTAAATGAACATATCAATTTACATTTTTAAGTCCGTAAAATACAAAATCTTGTTAGTGTATAATTATTGTATAAGGCAGACTAAGTCCCAAAGTGATCGTTACTATTTTATATTTGTTGGCACATTTTTTTTTAGCTGGCAAAGTTTTCTGCAGTAAAAATCATTTCACCACAACCACAGTTAAATACCTTCATTTGTCAACGGTTATGTCAATATTCTATGATCCTCAGTCACGTGGATTGAAAGACCGACGAAAAGAATGTGATCACATTGGATATAGAAATCAATGTAAAAGATATTGCCCATTATTGATATTAAGTAAAACTAAGATGCCTTAAGATTGAATAGCAAATTTCTTAAATTTACAAATTTATCCCTGTAAAATCGTCGTCAGCAACACATTATATTAAACATTGTGTTCACCTCAGAGTAAGTGCGTGTATTCCTTAAATCCGAAGAAATGTTGGTAACTATAAAACGAGACTTGTAATAGTGATAATGTAATTGACTGAATTGAAAATTTGTCTTTCTCCATTTTGTATAACATGATGTTAGCGTGTATCCTCTAGATTACATATAGAACAATAACTAATAATTTAAGTTTGGATGTAACACGTCTTCTGATTGGCTGAAAGTTTTTTGTCTATCTACTCATAGACATAATCCTGTCATGTGACCGTGACGTCATCAACGTTTTTTCATGATTAACTCCTTAAAAATAGAATTTATTATAATTTAAATTATAAGGAATGACTGTAATATTTTTTTCTGGCTAATCGAAATAACCTCAAAAATGTGGTGCACACTTTTAAATAACCCACTACGCCGGTTATTCAGTGTGCACTACATTTTTGATGTTATTTCAAATAGACAGAAAAAATATTTCGGTCATTCCTTAAATAGATGTTTCAGTGTTGATTTATCAAATGTTTATAGTGGATAAATTCTCAATTCTATTTTATGTTTTTCCTGTAGATATTGAGTGCAATGTATTTAGGATGTAAATTTGGTCTTTCATAAAAGCGAAATTCCAAACTGAACTATGTTGATAGTTATGTGTAATCCAGAAAAGTTCTGACTATGGTTGTTATTTCTTTAATGTATCATATCAAAGGTTATCCAAGGAACTTGTCATACCACTGATACCGTTATCATACATTTTTTAGATGTCTCTTTTAATCTTGAAATTTATATTGTAACTAATGGCAAAATGCTGAAATTTAAATAAATCACACATGCATTTTAATACACCGATCAACTTTTGCATATGTGAAGCTATAACCTATTACACGTCTATATCAAGTCCCTGTGTGAAGTGAAAACTTTTCATCAAAATGGAAAAAAAATATCAGTAGAAATGTATCTTAACCTAATGATGAAGAGAATAATGTCTATCTTTTCTGAAAAAGGCACAGAAAATACTAATTGACAGTGTAAATCAAAACCTTAAGTCGAAGAAGAATAGACTAAGACCATGTCACCAAGAGAGAAAAAAAACCCAAAATAACACAAACAGTCCACAAAATAAATATAGGAAGATGTGGTATGAGTGCCAATGAGACAACTCTCCATCCAAGTTACAATTTATAAAAGTAAACCATTATAGGTCAAGGTACGGCCTTCAACACGGATCATTGGCTCACACCGAACAGCAAGCTATAAAGGGCCCCAAAAAATTACTAGTGTAAAACCATTCAAAAAAACTATATAGAAAACTATTGATACCTCAAAATGGTAACAATTCAATTGTAAGTCTGACACATGAATGCATTACTTATGTAATACAGTTCTTATGTAATGAAGTGACCACATGGTTTTCCTTGTTTCTAGTATTTTTTCAATATAAGATATGTTCAAACGATAGTCAAATTTTTCATCTACAACAAAAAAGAAGATACTATATTCCATCTTGTGATGTTATTGTATTTAATGTTTTGTGTAGAACCAGTATATGCATACATGTATGTAAGGTATATTTATATATTATGTTTTCAAGTAAGTAAATGCATATACATATTTTTTTTAATGGTAACTGATTCAAAATCTTACCATTGTATAGAATAGCAAAATGTATCGTATGTTTAACATACTCTTAGGCACCAACCATTCATTTTTTTGTGGGGGACGGGGATCGAACATGGTTGTATTTTTTATTCTTAATAAATTGTTTGATTTTAAGTTTCTTAATAAAAGATCATTTGTTTCCGAAGAGAAGTGAGCATATATTTTGTTTCCTTTGCAAATTACGAAAAATAAATACTGATTCAACATTCAATTAAAAACAAATCAGGTTCCTGTACCAAATTAAAAATAAAAGTTTGTTGTTATTAATGTTATTAATGTTGAAAAAAAAGTTCCCAGGAAAAAGCGCATCCCCCCAACCACCATCACTTAGGATGAATGATCGGTGCCTTATCGTCTGAATTATCAAATGGCGACTCTCAGCTGTAATTGTTGTTAAAATATGCATTAAAAATATGGGAAAATTCTCCTACTTCTTATTTATTGATCAGAGTTACTACATCATTGATAGTGCATTGACGAAACGCTAGATGGCGCTGTTCTGCTTCTATCTTCATATGTTCGCACTCACCCGTAATCATTCATTTATATTAATTAATGCGTCATTGTTGATTTATATATCAACACCCTAAATAAATGAGGATCCGGAGATGTGCTATGATTGCCGATAAGACAACTATTCATCAGAGGCCAAATGATGAGTAAGAAAGCAACTATTATAGATTACATTGTGGCCTTCAACAATGAAAACAATCCATACAATAAAGCAAGCTATAAAAGGCCAAATGACAAATGACAAAATGTGAAACAATTCATACGAGAAAACTAACCGCCTGATTGGAGCTGAAAATAGTCTAAAACGAAAACAAATATAATAGACCCCAACAAACGACAACCAATGAGTTACAATGTCCGAACAGGCATACAGAAAATGGGACGCAGTTAAACATGTTTCAGAGCTATATACACATATGCACATTGACGGAACTAAAATATCTCTGCCTATATTTTGGCATTGCATCAGGTCACGTTTTTCTCTGACTGTTAATAGCGTGTTAACGCTCTAAATCCATTGGATGTTGGATATGTACTGATTGATATTTTAGTCTTAGATACATGATTCTTTTATTACATGTAGTTGTTATTGGCTTTGAACTAGCTGTCAGTAACTGCGAGTATTCTCATGTCTGTACTTTGTGTCATTTTTGTTGTTAGGGATGTATTAATACCCTGCCACGTCCGGTCTGTATTTTTATTAGATGTGTTTCGTTTCTGCTTTGTATCAATCTGATGAGCTAAGCCCTTTTCAACGGATTTTTATAGTTTGTTCTTATGTTGTACTGTATCATCACCATTGTACCAAATTAGGGGAAGGTTGGTGCCTTCAATCATGTTTAATCCCGCCACATTTTTTATGTGCCTGTCCCAAGTCAGGAGCCAGTAGTTCAGTTGTTGTCGTTGATTCATGCTTATTTTTCGTAGATTGTTTTTTTTTAAATTAGGCTTTTAGTTTTCTCAATTAAATTGTTTTACATTTTTCATGTCGAAGCCTTTTATAGTTGACTATACGGCGTGGGTTTTTCTCATTGTTGAAGGCCGTATGATTGCCTATAATTGCTTACATCCACTTCATTTGAACTGTCTCCTTGGCTATCATAATATATCTCCTTATCTTTATATTAGAGAGTTCATTTTCTAAATTCAATCCCACCTTTTTGAACTTTGATCAAGGCACTAAAAAAGATACATATACATGTATCACACAGAATAAAAACCTATGTCTTCAATCTGAATGGTTGATTCCTTACTGGTACATCACAGGCACTTGTCTCAGAAAAAAAGTTCCTATATACCTTAATATAACTGTTATATTAAGGTATATAGGAAATTTTTTTCTGAGACAAGTGCCTGTGTGGTACATGTATTTCGTATATACCAGATGTCTAATACTGTACTAGTGAGACACCATGTAGCAATGAGACTATATATATATATATACACATGAAGTATTGAAAACCAAAAGGTTGTAAAAGAACAACTTTTTAAAATTTCCGTAAAGTAAGGTCGATCTTATAAAGATTCATCATATTTCGTAATAATACATTGTTTGTAACACATAAAAATAACATCGGAGATTACCGAACATATTTATCTGTTACAAAGACCACCAACTTCAACCTCATAGAAAAAAGACCTACAAACAAATAAAAAACAACTATAAACAACATCATACGGAAATTCTTTTTTTTTTCTTTAGACCACCCAAAAGGATTGGCTTGGGTATGAAAATATGGCTATCCCTTGATCTTCTTCCGAAAGAGATTTAAACTCTTGCAAAGGTTGGGCGTCCGTTTGGTTGTGCGGGATGTATAACAAATACTCAGCCACGTCCGGTTAGAACGGTGACGTTAAATCCGATGCCTCATGTAGAGAGAGTTCTGCGCTCTCTGCACGTTTAGAACTCTTGCAACAAGTCGTTGAGTGGTCCATCTGGCCTCATTTACATCACTATCCAATATACTCTTAGCTTCCAGTTGTACGGCATTACAAATTACCCGCCCTTCATCCTGGTCGACAACCTATTACATGACTTATGTTAATTTGTTATCGTCCTGAACATGAATGAGATATTTGCCAATTAAAGTTAGGCAAACAATGATTATCAATCAATCAATTCTTTTTTGAACCATATATCAATTTGCTGTATTGTTCACTCAAGTGACCAATAGTTTTGTCTATTATTAGATTATTGATTATACAACTACAGTGGTGGATCCAATGGACGAAGAGGGCGTTCCCCTCTTTTGGAGCTAAATAAAAAAAAATCTCATGTTTCTCACAATTTATATGACTTTTTTGAATAAAATTGTAAAAAAAAAATTGCCTCGCTCCACTTGGAAGTATATATTCCGTTTTCAGGAATTACGACTCTGAATTATGTATGCTACAAATTACGAGTTTTTAAAAATTACAAAATCTAATTGCGTATCTGAATTAAATAATGATAGATTTACATAGGCATTGAAATCCAGATAACTAATTTGGATTATAGCTAGCACAAGCAAATAATTTTTCGTAATTATGATATTCAAAACTTGTATATAGTTGACGTACACTTCTCTTTACATAAAGGTTTCTTATTCAATGGTAATTACAACAGATAGAAAGAATGTAACCGGTTAGTAATAAGAAATTCCGACGCTTAATGTCCTAACATTGCGCTTTTGCAATGAAGATCTCTAAAATAAACTTAATGTTGGGACGTATTCAAGTTTTATTATTAAGGACAATTAGAGGAACTATAAATTAGTTTATTTTAAGAAAGAAACAATTTTAAAGTTTTGACATATTTTTTATTAAAGAATATCAGTTGTAAATCTATTTAACTTACATTTTCATGATTTTTCTGTGATTACTTTATTAGAATTGTTTTTTACACGGACATGTAAAATATTTTAAAAAATCATGTAATTACAAGCCCCTGGCGGTGAAATTGTATCTTGATATTCCTCAAACTAAAATTTTGTAATGAAACAACTATGAATAGACCGCTTGTTCCCTGTTCTACAGAAGTGAACAATTTAAGAAAACTAAAATACGCCTATTTGATTTTAATAATAGAGCTTACTACTTAAGTGGCAACATTGTAAATCTTTCGCCATATTTTCAAACTTTTAAATATTAAAGTAAAAACAAAATTGTCTGCTCTCTATCATACAAATAAACTTTGTGGTAAAACAAGGTTGATTTGCTCAATTATTAATTCTGATATGATGTTCCAAAATTAATTAAACGAGGCCCAGTTGCTTAAACGTTGACCATTGAAAACAAAGTATAGGGTAGAGATAAAGCCCCTTTTTATCAATTTTCATAAAGAATACATAAGACAGAGTGGATGGGGTCCTTCATTTCATTATTTTCTAACTTTTTATACCATTTTCTCTATACTTTTTTCTTTTTCTTTACAATTAAACTCTATTCTTTATATTTCAGCCCCCTATTATTCTCTATTATTTTTCCCCTTTATTTTGCGCTTTTTGTCAATGATTCTCTGTTCTATAAACCTCGTGAAGACCCTCACATGCGGCGGTAAAATTGTATTTTGATATCTCTCAAGCTAATTGTGCTGAAACAATTATGAATACACCGACCATGGCCACTTGTTCCCAGTTCTACAAAAATATACAACATTTAAGAAAGCTACGCTTTTTGATGTTCATGATGTAGATGTATTTTTCTAGTCACCAATATGTATTAATTATATATTCACTAGTAATAATTTCAGATAATTTGATAATGATAATTTAATAGAGTAATCTTTCGTTGTAAATATATTCTCGACAAACATTACTGAAATTAAATTTGTTCCTCCCTTTCGAAAATAAGTTAATTTTTGTATGGCCTTCGTGTACGCTATTGACGCACATTTCATATAAATTATAGTATAATATATAACTATATATAAAGGAACTTAAAATTTACCAAAAATTAGAAAGGCCATGACCCAGATGAATGTTTGATCTAAACTACTACATGTATGTGCTAATATAAACATTTACATAATCTTTGGTGAATTACATGTAATACATGCGCACATATTACGTACCTCTTTACATGGTAGGAAGTATTTTACTAGTATAAAAACCGACTGCGATCCCGTTATATGTCACTCTTGAGTCCTCAGAACAACAGTCAGGTAATAATTAATTATTCAGACTTATTTGATATATATTTTTTCAAGTAGAGAAATAAATATCACTTGAAAAAACAAATATTCAAAGTAATAGGGGTAGTAAGGATTAATGGTATTGTGAAAATTAAAACATTCAAAGTTATTTGAAAACAGTAGGCCAGGAGAACTTTCAAAAGCTATAGAATTAAATTATAATTTGTAAGGAGATTCATCTCACACAGTATACTTTGCTTTCATTGGTTATTTTTTAATCAACTGCATGGTACGCGTCTGTTTATTTTCTCATATCTTGATAGAATAAATCAAGGTTTTTTTATATTAGGTTTGGGTTTTTAACCCTATAACATTTCGTGCTTTCGCAAAGACAAATTTCTTGTCTTTCGTTTGGAAAAGCTCTAGTTTGTTGTTTTTGGTTGATGCATTTTGTTACAGTTTCTGATATGTTAAAGCAATTTCTGTTAACGTTTTAAAATATTGCAGAATGAAATTAGCTATCGCCACAGTTGCTGTTTTGGTTTGCCTTTGTGGCATGGAGGGAATCAGTGCTACCGGGTACGGTAATTCAGGATACGGATCTAGCTACGGGAGTAGTTATGGAGGAGTCGGATATGGCAATATGGGATACGGTGGAAATTATGGAAACTGGGGTGGATATGGACAGTCCGGATACGGAAGTTACGGTGGACACGGCAAAGGAGGTTATTCTGGCTATGGACACCAAAGTTATTCCGGATATGGTAAAAAAGGTTATTCCGGTTACGGAAAGAAAGGAGG